TCTTGCGAATCGCCATTTCGATTAAACGAACGCCCCTTGTTAGTCATTGATCAAAACAGTGAGTTGACCAGTAGCCCCCGATGTCTCATGATCCATTTGATCATTTTCGCTATTGGTCAGTTCACTGATCTGACCAATGGTGAAGTCGATGAAGTGGACCAAGGGGATCAATTGGATCAAATATGGCGTGTGCCGAAGGCAAAAACGACATACCGACAACGTGGATCCCACCCGGCAGTATTCTGGTCACTTTTTCTGCATTATCAGCAAGCCATTCATCATCAAGTGTTCTGCTCAGGGCATCTCCAGCCTGAAAACTGGTACATGACATCATCAACTCACTAATAATGAATGAAAACCCTAACACCGTCAGTAGCAGTGGCTGGAAGCGGACAGCGGGCCGCATGTGCAACATGGATGTCTCCGTCGGAACAGAATGAACCGATGAGGAAGTAGGCCGCGTAGGCAAAATTATCCGCTTTCTGCGCCTTCTGATGAGCCTTCTGCGCGGAATCCAACCATGACTCCAAGGTGCGATCGAAGACGATCATTTGTTCTGAAAGCTCGATAGCAACCATGGCGTGATAAGAATGGAGGTGATTTCAGCAGGTGACAACAGTCATTTGTTACCATGGTGATATACTATAGGAATGAAAGCATCATTTGCAATGGAAACGCCAACTTCCCTACTGAAATTGACCGTGATAGTAGTTTTCTTCTCAAGACTAAACAAGTGCTCCAGGTTTATCGTCAGTATAAGGAAGGCGATACGAACCAAAACCTTGCGCGAAAACACGTGAAGCAATGTTCTTCTTCTTATCTAGTATCGAAAGTAGCCTTCTGCGCTTACAGCCGAAAAATCAAGTTGCAATGACTATAGCAGAAGCTTAGGATAAAGTGAACTGCGCGATATCAATAAAAAAGATACAAAGCATAGTTTAGGCCGGCCAAACAACCATTCTTCGTCAAAATCAACGTGAATTAGTTTGATATTTCATCCATGTTCGTGTTTCAGACAATTCTAAAAGATCCTGTCCCTAGAACGTACTTGGACTTGTTCGATACGAAAAAAAAGGAAGAATATCAGAGCATGTCATCAACAAAATAGTTTGTACAATTCCAAAGTTGATTATAACAACATACAGAAACGTCACAATAGCTTCAAAAAAAGGCAGTACTCCCTAGAAAGAAAAAAACTGAAAA